CTACCTCACCCTTCCCCCCCCCCCCCCCCCCCCCTCTTTCTCTTCTATCTATTTTTCTTTTTCTATTTCTATTTCCTTTTATTTCTCTTCATTTCACTCTGTCCATTATTTCGCCAAGTCCATCCTTAACCTGACTACTACACCCTTATTACCCCCTTACCCTCACCATAAAATACATGTGGTGGTAACGAACATATATATCGACTCGGCTTCGATGAATATATATTGAAATTAACAACGATCTTCACGCATGTCTCTCTGGAACCCGTTTTTTTATTTTTCAATCGAACGCGCGCTTCGCTGGCTTCCTGCGTTTTCGCGCGCTGCTTTCCGTGCTCGCTCGAAAATCGGCCGAAGATGCGCGTATTTCGTTATGCTGATTTTACACACATACACCGCCTCTTTTTATATTACATACAATATAGATATATTATATTATATATATATAGGTATATATTATATAATATAATATAATTTTATTTTATTTAATGTGATATATGATACGATTTAATATACTATAATATAATATCCATTTAATTTAATTCAATGTAATTTAATTTAATTTAATTTAATTTAATATACATATACATATATATACTTGTATGTATATATGTATGTATTTATTTACAAAAATATATGTTACGGTCGTTATGTTTTATGTGGGCGTTTTGTAAAATAACCAGCACAGGATGCCCAATTTTTACAAATGACCCGGACATTTTATGAAATGTTCATGGTTCGTTGGGTAGTGTGTTGAATCCATAATTGACGGGTTTTTTTTTTTTTATCATTATCTTTCATTGCTTGTACTCTTTTATACATTACGCCGCGCTTCTATCTTTACCTTTTACTTTTTACCTATCACTCCTACACATTCTTCTATTCTGATAGACGTCTTCTTGTCTCTGCACTTCCATGTACCACAGCTCCTTGCCTTGCTCCAATAAATGATTCTTATGATTAATTATGATTATAACGATTGTATATTGATTTTGATTAAGGGATTTATTATCTCAATAAAAAACACATTTTTTAATTTCCTTGTCGAAACGATTTAATACATATCCCATCACTTTCTATGCATTCTGTATATAATGACTGGGCATTTTATAACATGATCGAAACTTATTCAAGGTGTTTTATGCAATATCTTTTCAAATGGGCATGTTATACAGTACCCGATCATTTTATAAAACGCTCACATTAAACACATTGACCGTAACATATATACCTATCTTTCTTACTATTTATCTATCTATCTATCTATCTATCTATCTATCTTCTTTTTTTTTAATTTTTTTTTCTATAGATCGCAATGGATGCGGGGGAAGTAAGCTTCCCTGGCAGTGGTCCTACGAAACCAGGGTCCCACCATCACCACGTGAGCATTCCTTCGGTGGGTCCCGTTCTGACCCGTTTCCTTTACTGTCGCTTTCCTTACTTCCCCGTCCCCTTGAGGGGTTAGGGGTTCGGGCTCATCGTTTTCAGCATGCAGGAGTCTTCCTCTTGCCGTTTCCTGTAGTCTTGCGGCTCCAGGGTTGGGGGTCGGTATTCTTTTGTCTTATTCTACACCTTACTTCTTGCGTCGTAGATTAGTCACCCTTTCTCTTTAATCTGGGGGTCCGTGGTTCGTCGTATTGCGCGTCTTATCTTCTCTTTCTCTCTCTCTCTCTCTCTCTCTCTCTCTCTCTCTCTCTCTATTTTTCGTAATTACTTATCTGAAGTAGTGTGTATTCTTGTCCCAGTTTTCCAGTCAGCACAGCATAGCTTCGACCAGAGTTTCTGGTTCTAAAGGCTCGCCAATTCTCTGTTGTAGTTGGGTACGTATTTCCGTGTAGGCTCTGCAGCGGAAGAAAACGTGTTCTGC